TGTCTGAAGCTGATCGAACTCTAAAGGCATTGGTAACCCTTGAAGTATGTTTCCTCCATCACTGTGGTTAAGAGGAAGTGATGAGGCATGGTGGAACTTTCCAATATCAGTTTGGTTTTGCAAGAACATTCCAGAAGAAGGAGAAGAAAGGCTGCGGACACCGATCCCCGAAGGAGTGTTGAGTCGGCCAAGAATCCCATTTGAAGGGAAAGGTCTCACCGCAGCAGCCCCACCATGGAACTGACCGGGTCCAACAGGGATTGGTCTGTGGTGGAAACTGTCAAGTCCATTGAGAGAAGAACTCATTTGCAAGAAATGTAAATCAGAGTTTGCCATAATAGCTTGTTGAGTAGCCGCACCACTGATCCTCTTCAAGTAAAGGCGGAATTTCTGCAGCGCACGGATAAATGAATAAGCTTTCGAGGTTTTAAGAACAAAGCTTTGGTTTGAGTTAAAAGGCATGAAAGATTCTTTGAGACCTGAAGATGACTAGCAACATTTTCTCTAGTGAGTTTCTCAACATTCATCAGATCCAGAATCTTTTTAGGCATTGCCTCTGCAATCAACACAACACGAACAAAACAAAATTAAAACCAGCAAAAGAGTGTTTGATAACAAATGTAGTAAAACTTACTCTCAAAGCCCAATTGGTTAACCGCTGCTACAAATTTCTTGTGCAGCTCAACCGTCCAAACAACGCGAGGCTTCTTTTGAGCTGACGGATCATCGCTATCATCTCTTTCCTCATCCTCGTCTTCATTGAACTGATCTTTACGTTTTCTATTCGCTCTCCCAACGTTCTGATCAGAATTCCGAACACCTTCATTGCCCGACCCATCTCTCTTGTCACCGTTATTACTTCCACGGTTCTTGTCAAATCTGATTCTCACAACATGTTGCCAAATGTTTTTCAGCTCTTCGATACGAACCGGTTTCAGTAGATAGTCACAAGCCCCATGAGTAACTCCCTTCATCACATACTTTGGATCGCTATGCGCAGATAACACTGCAGAGTTTACAACAAGAACTCATCATAAAAACCAAACCAAGAATCAAGAAACCAAATCTAAAAAGATCAAAGCTTTCCATGAATCAGGCAGGGTCTAAAAAACTCAAAACTTTCCCTGTAGTCATTGATGAGAAAATAATAATTAGATTTTTAAAAATAAAAGAAAATATAATTAAGACTTACTAATGACAGGTAGGTCCATTTCAAGACCAACGAGCTCAAGGAGTTTGAAACCATCCATGTCAGGCATGTCAACATCGCTAATAACCAGATCAAACTTGTTCTTGTTCTCTCTCAATAACTCTAGAGCCTTTTGTGCCTGGTTCGTAGTTGTAACTGCAGACACACACACAAATCACCCCCCAAAAGTCTCAGTTTTTTTTTTTTTTCTATTTTAATTGTTCAGGCAAAATTCAATTCAACAATGATCTCTCTGACACACACATGTAGCAAATGGGTAGATCAGAAGCAGGGGATTGAAAAAAAAAAATGTCAAATCTTACCAAATCTAAAATTGAATTTCATAAGATGTTGGTGAGATCAAATCATAAGGCTAAATTTTCATAGGATTTTTACATGTAGTTTAGGTAGATAGCTTTTTCCAAACAGATATGGTTAAAAACACACAGCAAGAAAACAAATCCAACTCAAATCTAGCAAAACCATTTTGTAGAATCTCAACATCAACAGATCCCAGAAAACAAAATGGTAGA